CTTGTCCAAATTGTATGCCTCCATTATCTGATAATAATGAAGCCAGTCTCGCACTTTATTTTTTAGTTTTTCAAAACTCTGCAGTTTCAATCTATCGTCGTGGGTTTTTCTAACATAATGATATAGTTCTTTCTCTTCCCTCTGGATGCCAATTGCCACTGATGCAGGAGCCTGTGAAATTTATTCCAGGGACATTTGCCTGAATGTATCTAGTTGTGCTTGTGTGTTGTTGCAAGTCTTGAGAAATTAAGCATTGGCTAATAATAATAATAATAATAATAATAATAATAATAATTTATTATTTATACCCCGCCCATCTGGCTGAGTTTCCCCAGCCACTCTGGGCGGCTCCCAATCAAATGTTAAAAACAGTACAGCATTAAATATTAAAAACTTCCCTAAACAGGGCTGCTTTCAGATGTCTTTTAAAGATAGGATAGCTGCTTATTTCCTTCACATCTGAAGGGAGGGTGTTCCACAGGGTGGGTGCCACTACCGAGAAGGCCCTCTGTCTGGTTCCCTGTAACCTCACTTCTCGCAATGAGGGAATGGATAGAAGGCCCTCGGCGCTGGATCCCAGTGTCCGGGCTGAACAATGGGGGTGGAGACGCTCCTTCAGGTATACAGGACTGAGGCCGTTTAGGGCTTTAAAGGTCAGCACCAACACTTTGAATTGTGCTCGGAAATGTACTGGGAGTCAATGCAGATCTCTCAGGACCAGTGTTATGTGGTCCCGGCGGCCACTCCCAGTCACCAGTCTATCTGCCACATTCTGGATTAATTACAGTTTCCGGGTCACCTTCAAAGGTAGCCCCACGGAGAGCGCATTGCAGTAGTCCAAGCGGGAGATAACTAGAGCATGCACCACTCTGGCAAGACAGTCCCCGGGCAGGTAGGGACTCAGCCTGCGTACCAGATGGAGCTGGTAGACAGCCGCCCTGGACACAGAATTAACCTGTGCCTCCATGGACAGCTGTGAATCCAAAATGACTCCCAGGCTGCGTACCTGGTCCTTCAGGGGCACAGTTACCCCATTCAGGACCAGGGAGTCCTCCACACCCGCCCACCTCCTGTCCCCCCAAAACAGTACTTCTGTCTTGTCAGGCTTCAACCTCAATCGGTTAGCCTCCATCCATCCTCCAACCGCCTCCAGACACTCACACAGGACTGTTACCGCCTTCACTGGTTCTGATTTAAAAGAGAGGTAGAGCTGGGTATCATCCGCATACTGATGAACACCCAGCCCCAACCCCTGATGATCTCTCCCAGCAGTTTCATATAGATATTAAAAAGCATGGGAAAGAGGATGGAACCCTGAGGCACCCCACAAGTGAGAGCCCAGGGGTCTGAACACTCATCCCCCAACACCACTTTCTGGACACGGCCCAGGAGAAAGGAGCGGAACCACCGTATAACAGTGCCCCCAGCTCCCAGCTATTGGAGAGCATTGTAAAATATGCAACATAGAGCATAATGCTGACAGGAGAACCTGGAGATTGGTTTCATGCTTCAGTGCTGAATGGGAAGCATATAAATATATTTGAAAATGCACCATTTTTGAAAGAGATGGGATTGGTGAGAGGTGTTTATATATTAGCTGTACGGGATAGACCTTTTCAGAAGGTCCTACAGCTTTCATCTTTTCCCGTTGGTGGAACTGCAACATCTGGAGGTATTCTTGGTCTTCCTGGCCTGAGGAAAAACAGCTTCTAGGGTGTCTCTTATATAGAAGAGAAATTCTGCCACCAGTCCTCCCATGTTAAGGAATTCACCAAATTTCTAGTGGGAAGGAAAAGAAGTTCATAGGAAGAGCTGTCTTCCCAGTTTGGTTATAAGCTATGAACATACTACAAGAAGCATGTATTTTACTCATTTCCACTTGTATTGTAGTTGGGAAAAGAAAAAAGGAATTATAATTTCAGCTACAGAGGGAAAGAATGTGAATCCCGTCTTGTATGAAATTTGTGTCAGTAGCTGATGACATTCAGCATGTTCTCTTGGTGTCAGATGGATAATTTTTTGACTGGTGGAAAGGCACTTCTGTCAGACTCTCTGTCAGATTGTCAGCATAACCAGAGCAAAGTTGTAACAGAAAATGTTATTGCCATTATTGATATTGCATATGTCAGAAACAATTAATGAAATTTTGTTCCATTTTGTTTTGGAAAGTCTGTGATGGTATATATCTGTCTGATGTATGTGATTATGTACCTCATCGATATGTGGACTGTTTTATGCTTCATTTGTTTATGCTTGGTGAGCGCTGGGACTGCTTTACCACCTTGTGTTAGTATTGCTGAAGACTTCTAGGCTGTCAATACTCAGTTCAGTTTACTTTCTGATCCCACCCATCTTAAATGCAAATGGGACATGAAATGCTGTATTTTGGCTCTTGGCTCTTTTAATCTGCCATGTATTTAAGAAAGTGGTTTGTTTGTTCAATATGCATTTTGAAACTTAAGATAGGCATAACCACATTTTGCATTGTGGTTCCTGAGATCAAAAAGCAAATTTAGATAAAATTGGGCACCATTTTGAATCATGATAGCAGACTGAACCTTTCAAAACTGCACAGATCTTTCAAAACTGCATGTATCTGAGAATTTCTGAGTAACACTGGGTACAAGGCTGCTTGTAAAAGATGTAAAGGAGGATAGGGAAATCATTTCAGCTTATGTGAAGCAACACATGCATGAATCCGAAATCAACAGTAGCACAACATATGTGATATGTCACATATTTCTAACAAAAAGTTTCAAAATGGTATTCATATACTTATAAGTAGTGCAAAATGTAATTTTGAAACTTTTGTCACAAATATGTGAGTTGGGAAGCTGCTGTGGCTTTCAGGTTGCAAGCAATGAGTCCTGTAAAATGAGAAGGGTGAGCAGATTTCAGATCAGTTTCAAGATGTCACTGTTTGCCTTAACTGGATCTAGAAATAATTATGTAGTTAAATAGTGGCAAGCAGTGCTGTGTTACAATTCTAGTATAAAAGCTGCTCAGGCCATATTAGTTTGCATGGCATAAAAAAGCCATGAAAGTGGCTTTGTGGAGGATAAAAGTAGTTGCAGACAACAGAGGAAAAATAGTAGGAGAGAATACAGGATTAAGAATTCTTCACTAGCTTACCCTTTTGGGGCCTCTGAGAGAATATCATGGGTGCGAATCACAAAATGACTGTCATTGGTGTGTGGCAGGTGGCAAAACAACTGGAAAAGAGCAGAAAATGAGATATGGGCATGAAATGGTGCAGATGTACAAAACTACGAAAAAGCTGTGAGTTAACAAAACCAGTGATTCATGGGGACCCCCCCCCACATTAGCACCGCAAACTCAAAACACAGCTTCAACCCCACATCATTCACTTGGGAACCTGACTCAGCCCTCACACTCTCTCACACATGCACACACTCTCCCCAGCCCATCCTACCTCACAGAAATGAAGGGCAGAAAATACTTCTCAAGGAACATGCTTATACAACCCCAGGAAAAAGAAGTGTCAGTCAGTCAGTCAGTCAGAAAAGATTTTTTTTTAAAGTTTGTATTGTGGGGGAAGCCCTAAATTAACACAGCAGACCAGGGAGACCCACTGTATGGAAAAGGAAGGAATGAAAAAGTCAAATAAAAATTATTTAAAATGCAGATTCTCTTGGGTTTGTGTGGTTTTTACATAGGACCTGCCCAGATCACCATTAAATCGCAGCTCACGTTTTTCTCCATGGACTGAACAGTAAAAATAGTGGTTCCAGTGTGGATCCACCATTGCACACATCCATGGGTGCAAGGCACAGATCTCATGGTTTTCCTCAAAAGCACCAACAAAACACAGATCACATCTGTGGGGACAGAGGGGACCTCTGATTTGGTAGTTATATCAAAATCATGAAGTAAGGACCTGTGCTTCACACCCATGTTTTATGTTCCATCACAGTACTGGTAATCACTGGATCTGCAATTGTTTACGGGGCAGCAGTGGTTTGATTGTGATCTGCAAGTGCAATAGGACTTGTTTTACTGGATCAACTCTTCACTTAGATATTACCTTGGTCCCCCTTCTTCTCTCTCTGTCAGACTAGGCTTCCTGCCTATCAACCATGAGAAACATGGAAATGTGAAAATAAGGTGTATTTAATTAAGCAAAAATCCATGCAGATTTGTTTGGGGAACATTTAAAAAGAGTTGTATACATTAAGCCATGGCATTATTCAGTGCTATGTCGCGTTAATTCAGTCATCTGTCAAATATTAATGTGGCATCTAATTAATAAATGGCTCATGAGAACAGCCATTGTGACCTCTATTCTTTTAATTTAGTATTGTCATCCACTGTTAATAGTGGTTCTGCTTTTGCTATTAGCAATCCTATCTGAGGCTTAATGGAAAAGAAGTACTCAACTATTCCCACCCACTGGTGAGAAACAACAGCAACATATTGCCTTCTTACTGTCAAGACAATTATGGATAGCGATCAAATCAAGATCATCTCTAGTTATTGTATTTTAAAATAAAAACAACCCAATGTTGTGTCAGAGCCTAGTTTACTGCTCTTTTCTTGTGATATTTAGTTCTGTTTCAGTACTCTCACTGACATGCTATGAAACATTTTTTTATATCTATGGCACCATATTTAATTGTTGCCCATGCTCTTTGTTGGACGGCTCCTTATTCTGCTCTGGTTCTGAGAAGGAGCCCACACAGCTCAGCAAGGTAAGACAGGGTGACTGGTGAAACAGCACAGATATTTCTGTGTGGCCAACTGGTTGAAGATGAACTGAGATCATTTGAGGCTCTGCCTCCAATCCACCTTTCCTGTGTTCTGCCCCCTTCACTGGGCAACTGCAGACTCTTAAAAAGTCAGTCCTCTGCCTTGAAGACAGGCATTGTTTCATGGCCTCCTGCCTTTTGCTGTCTCTTCACCATTGGCCTGGTAAGGTTCAATTTGTCAGGTTTGTCAGGTCCAGGAGAAAAGCCCTATGATGGTCCTGGCTCTGGTATTATGGGTCTTGGTGTTGTGGGCTTACTGCCTGCCAGCCTCCTGTTACTTGGGCTCCTGACCACCATGATCAGACACAAAGCCAGGAACCTGGCCCAGCTCCTCCGCCTTGCAGCCTCTGATTTGGTGCTCTAGATTCCAGGGTCATGACGCACAAAAACATGAGATCAATTTTACATCCAGTTTGTATAGCTGAATTTGTATTAAGCCTAAAGAACTTATTTGTGAGGCATCTAACTCACATAAATAGTAAGTGCCAAACAAATGCATATAGAGCATGGAGCTGGTCAGCTTTCAGATTTCTGTACCTTTTGACTGACCTGCTCCTCTAAAGAGAAACTTTTGGAGAATTCACCTTTTACTCTGAGACATCAGACACATGTTAAGATTCCCTGAGCAAATAGGGGTGAGGAAGAGGGTAAGCAACATGTTCAGATAACAATTGTTTCTCCAGAGTAATGTAATTTATTCTGTTTGGACGAAGTACAGATAGTAGCAATTCTAAATTAAATTGACATGTCCATGCCCCCCCCCCACAGGTTTTAGTTATTGTTCAGAGAGATAATTTAATTTATTATTATGAGTACACTCAGATTTTCTAAAAGACAAGGAGTACCTGGAATAATTTTTTTTATTACGTCTGATGAAATTACATTACCTTTCCTAAAATAACAAGTACAAAGTTTTCAAAGAATGCTGAGTTTACTGTAAGGGGATTTACAAACACAACATCCTTATAAACAATTCCACCATTTGGTGTGTAGCAGAAAAAGTTTTTGGGTTTGTGTTTACTCATATTTATATTAGTAAGAATCCTGAACGTTTATGGACATTAGAGTAGGCATAGATTCGGCCTTTTTGTGTGGAGACCCCTTGAAATGGTGTCTGTTGGATTTCTACTTTTTATGCCGCTGTTACAGGTGTTGTAATTCTGTTAATGACATGGGCCTAATACTTCCGCCCATAGAAAATTCACACAAGAAATTAATGCAAACAGTTTCAAAGAAAGAAAAACAATTAGGTGTTGTCCAACTTTAGATGTCCTTTTTGGAAGCTAATTACCTTGACCCATTTCAGAACTAGTTTCAGCACTTAAACAGTTTTGGTCGCACCTGATGAGGAATGGCTTTTGATACCACCATGCTTGGTATTCTGCTGGACCCACTTTGTAGATTGGGAGTTGGATGCATTGGGAGTGTTTTGATGGTTCCTCTCCTACCTGAAGGGTTGGCTCCAGACAGCAGCAGTAAAAAGCACTTGCTCCCTCTTTTTAGTGTGTATATGAATCTGTTGAGAGTGGTCATTAGAAGATTTGAGGCACGATACTATCAATATGCGGATGATACTCAGCTCTATTTCTTCTTGCCATCTGGGGTCTGCTGAAGCTGGACAGGTGCTGTATCTGTGTCTGGAGACAATAATGAATAAGACTGGAGCTCAGCTGGGGAAACTCTTCTGGTGATGCCATTGTTGAGGGAGGTCAGGAGAACTACAACTTGCCAGAGGGTCTTCTCAGCAATCGTATCCTGTTTACTAGGGGTTGCCAAGACCGGCTCCTGAGGTGCAGGCCCATGGGGATGCAAAAATCACCTATCAGATTATGGTGTAAATAATGTATATATGTGTGGCAACATGACAGTGCTTTCACAGCAAGATCAAATGCAGGAAAATCTTCTTGTCCTTCTTGCACCGTGGCACAAAGATGTGCATTTTTTTTCACCCTTCCTCCTTGCTTTGCCTTCACTGCAGATGCTTCAAGTACTTGGGTTGTATGAAATGTAATAATTTATAATGTGGCTATTATGGTAAAGTGATGGGAGCGGGGGTTAAAGCTCCTTGCCAAGGGTTCAAGGGACCCTGGGTACACCTCTGCCCAATTACACAACATTCTCCAGTCTGAGCTTCAAATGGTGCCTTGTCGATCTTTTGGTCATTTCATTTCTAATATTTAACAGATGGTGACTTTACTTCTTAGTTGTATTTTACTTTTTGTCAGTTTTGGTATTGTATTTTAAACTGTTGCTTTATTTAATTTAAATTTGTGTGTGTGCTTTTAAATGGTTTTAAGTGTTTGCAGTGCTGTGTTTTAAGGGGGTTCTTTCATTACTGTTATGTGTGCTGGCGTGGTTGCTCGAGAGCAAACTGGCAAGACTCCCCGTGGGTCTTTTCTTTCTTTCTTTTTAAATTTTTTAATTAAATTTTCCAACATACATTTATAGTATCCAATCTAAATTTATCACATATTTTCTCTTTTAGACTTCCTTCAACCTCTCTGACAATCACCCATTATTCAAATTTTTAAATACGCATTTCCTAATTTTATATTGCATTTTATAAACCTTCACACACTTAGTTTTCATCAATACAATAGTCCTCTATCATTTACAGAACTTCTTGAAATCCCACTAGCGTTATTTGCTCATCACATACACATTTCATATAGTCTGAAAATTTTCCCCAGTCTTCAATGAACTTTTGATCTCGTATATATCTGATCTTTCCTGTTAGTTTGTCCAGTTCAGCATACTCCATCAGTTTCATTCTCCATTCTTGAGCGTCGGCAGTTGTTCCTGTTTCCATCTTTGGGCCAATAATATTCTCGCTGCTGTTACTGCATATTGGAAAAGTTTACAGTCCATTCTATTTATTTCATTTCCTACTATTCCTAAAAGAAAAGCCTCTGGTTTCTTAACAAACGTATATTTCAACATCTTTTTCATCTCATTACATATCATTTCCCAGAAGCCCTTCACCTTCTTACAATCCCACCACATATGATAAAATGTTCCTTCTTTTTCTTTACATTTCCAACACATTACATGTTTTATACATGTAATGTATAAAACCCGTGGGTCTTTTCAAGGCTTTATTATCGGTGCAAAAACATTCACAGTGCAGAGCGTCTCAATTCAATGTCTTGCTCACTCGCTAGCAGAATCTGGGAGTGGGCGGTCCTTAAACTTTCCCCAGCAGAGTAGTCTTTTGACCCCCACCCTACGCCTCCCCTCCCTGTGCGCAAACCGACTGCGCAGAGAGGGCGTGGGCAGAGGGGGACCTGCCTCCCCCCCCTCTTTGTTCATGCTCGGTGCTGTGTCTCCCTTGCATCCTCCGAGCCCTGCATCCCTTCCCCACTGGAGGCGTGGCTTTCCTCCTCCGCGGAGGAGGTGCTGCTTCTCACGATCATTGGAGGCTCCCTGTAACCCAACTGCCCTTCCACCTCTCGCCTCTGAGCTGATGGCAGTTCCCTGACAATTACTTTTTAAAGAAATTATATTTTAGTTGTGTCTGTTTTAACTTACGCTGTAGGAACACTGGAAGAAAAATGGGAAACTAATTATGACCCATAATTTTATAATAATAAATAGAATAAAAATAAACTTCATGTAGCTAAAGAAGATGCTGTTTTGCCTCCAACCTACTGCTTTTTCCATCTGGAATTGTTTGCAAATTGTCTGGAAATGCCATTCCACTAATACATAACATAGTTCACTTGACTGGGAACAGCTAGGCCACAAAAGTGAAAGTTTTTATTCTGTGAATGTTGGTCTTTAGAAGAGTTTGGATTTGATATCCCGCCTTTCACTCCCTTTAAGGAGTCTCAAAGCGGCTAACATTCTCCTTTCCCTTCCTTCCCCACAACAAACACTCTGTGAGGTGAGTGGGGCTGAGAGACTTCAGAGAAGTGTGACTAGCCCAAGGTCACCCAGCAGCTGCAGGTGGAGGAGCGGAGACGCGAATCCAGTTCCCCAGATTAGGAGACTACCGCTCTTTTTTTTTTAAAAAAAAGATATTTATTGAGATTTTCAGAATGTTACAAAAAATTAAAAAAAATAAAATAAAATAGAAGCAGAAAAGAATACAAAGAATAAAAATAGTTATAAGAAAAAATTCCAAATGAGAAAAAAATGACAGGAAAAAAGAAAAAAAGAAGAATGCAAAAATCACAAAACTTTAAAAACATTTAAAAACAAATTCATTATTTTCAAATCCTTAACTGTCATTACCTTCTTTCTTAGACCTCCTCCTCCTCCCTTTCTTTGTATCCTAGTTATTAATTATCCCAGCAAATCCTTGACCTTATCTTTCTATAATAAAATAAACCTTAACACTTAAAACTTAAATCTTATCCTTACCAACTTCTCATAATCATAATATTCTTTCATAATTCTTTAAACATCTTTGCTAAAGCCAAGTATTTTCATTCCAACATTTTCCTATCATTCATCAATTTTATAAAACAGTTCTAATAGTAGAAAAAAGAGGTATAAACAGATCCAATCTTCATCCAGCGTCCCTTCCTCCTGGTTCCGGGTTTTGTCAGTCCTTATTCCCGTCAATCTAGCCCATTAACCTGGCCCTCAAGTCTCTTCCATGTCCCTTCCGCGGCTCTTCTTCATATTTGTAACTGTATTTTCCCTTGTCTCTTGCTCGTGGTAACTCCAGCTTGACAATGTTTTTAATCCTTCTCAACAGATCAGCCCCTTTTCCATGTTCAACAATGAATTCCATGTAGTATTTAAAAGCATGTTTCAAAGGCCCTCCAAAATTGAGAGCCCCCACAGTCCCAAACATCTCACGGCCCGTTGCCATATTTGAAAAGTCCAAACATCCCAGCATAGGGGGGTCAATCCAGCCCCCCATTTCCAAACCAAGCCAAACTTTTCCTTTCCAGATATGGCTTTTTCCAAGTTCATTTGTCAAATCCAAAAATCATATTCCTGTTGGGCCTGTTCTGTCAAAACACACTCCTGATTTAATGTCAAAAACTCCTGTTCTGTCAAGACACACTCCTGATTTAAATCCTGAGTGGGCTCCACATATTTTCCCACTGTCTGTTCAAAGTTTCCCACTGCCTGTTCAAAATTTCTAGTCGAAGTCGCCATCCAATTCACCTTCTCGTGTAATTGTTCCAGTAGATCGTTTGTTTTATAGAGAGCATACAACAAGGCTTCTGAATACATTGTCCCACAAGGTCAGATACTTGTTCCCACGGTTGTAATCTGTAACAGCTGTCGACTCCCTGGAGTTAGTTACAGTTTCACAGTTACAATTTCACAGACTCCCCCTAGGGGAAGACTTCTATTTATTCTTGCAACAAAGTTTCCTTTTTAAGATACTTTGTCCATATATAATCCTTTAAAATGCGAAAGGGAACAGTGGAATCACTAGGTTTCTCTTCTTTTAGCCATCTGTCAAAAACACTTGTCTTTGGTTAATGAACTTCACACGTCAGTCCTGACAGCCCGCTCCAGGATCAGGACGGAGGAAAGTTACTTCACTTTAAAGTCACTTTAAACAGTCCAAAAAGATCCCCCCCTTCTCCTGGTGTCGAAGGGGGGTTCCACAATTTTAAATGGTGAAATCCAATCTTTTAAAAGCGATTTTCTGAGCTCTAGTTTAAGTTGCCTTTGCTTTATTCTGTTTACAAAAGAACGGAAGGATGACTTCCTGTTTAGACCTTCCCGTTCCGTACCAAATTCAAGTAAATTTTTAAAGTCCGATTCTTTTCTACTCGCAAGTCCTTATTTGATGTCCAATTGTTCAAAGTCTAAGTACTCACGGGTGCTTATTTTAAAGTCCAAATTGTCCCAGGAAAAAGGCAGCGCTCTCCGGCAACAGCTATGCGGCTTCGCTCCACGGAAATAGCAGTTGACTCACAGCACCGCGCCACTTCCCCCTCTTCACTCCGGAGCCCGTTAGTGGGTTCCTTAGCAGGTTGGGGGGGGCGCTAAAGGTGCCCGCCGAGTCCCATGGTCACAGGCTTCATCCGCCTGTGATTTTTAAGTGGGTCCCCGCTTCGCCGTAGCGGAGAAGACCCGTTTTCCGCGGAGCTAGTCCCTCCAGTTCAGAGGGAGTCCGCCATTGCCGGTGGCGCCACCCCGGAAGTCTCCAGAGACTACCGCTCTTAACCACTACACTCACTTGCTGTCCTTGTTAGGTGCTCCCTAGTAAAATTATGTTTATTCTAGGCTCATTTTCAAGGGCAAACATCTTAATGCAGATTATACACATTCTACTTTTTCACACTTTGCAGATTGTTACAGCTGGCTATTTTGCAATGTGAAGAACATAGCAGACTGTTTATCATGATATTACTCTTCAGTAAAGAACCTTTTTTTAAATTATGAAGCATGTTATGCAGATTGTCATTCATTGTATACACTGGCGGAGGAAGAGGAGTGCAGGGGGAGCGCACCGCCCCCGGCAGTGCGACCCCCAGGGTGCCATTGCAGCTGCCCCCCACCTGCGCTGGGTGCCCTGCCCCCGCAGGCGGCACGGTGCACCCCGTCCCCTGGATGTGCACCCCGACCCTGCTGGCGGCCCGCCCCGCCCCGGAACACGCGCCACCCCGACCCTGCCTGCTCTCTGCCCCCGGTGCCAGAGCATGAAGCTCCGCCACTGATTGTATAGCAGCTGTAGCAATGATTTTGCCAAAACACCCTGCCACTTACAATAGAGTTAATGAAGCTTAATGGCCTTCACAAAAGCTGTAGATATGATTTCTGTATAAAGTTATAGGTGCTTTGAAGTTGATAATAGACTGCAAAGTGAGCATAAGATTGGTAGCATATGCAAACATGTATAAATGTTTTCATTGTGCAGGACTTTTGCAAAATGGCCATAGGCTGTATTGCACTTTTCTAGCACTGTGAGCCAAATTGACTCTTTGTGCTCTGCCCTTATTCCAGACAAGGAATCAGGAACTGCACTGGAAAAATTGGATCTGCGCCCCCAGCCAAATACACACATACATACGTACATATGTACGTACATACAGCCACCAGAATATTGTTGTCTACACTAGAGTTGGAATTTACAGCAAGCTTATCCAAAGTTGCATAAATATACTTAGGGTAGAATTCAGCTTTGCACTATGATGAACATTCCATCTGCACAAATATTTCAGCTTGCCAGATGGAACAACCCCCTCTCTTCCCCATGCATGCTGTTCTTGGGGTTCTCCTGATTCCACAGCCAATTAATTTTAGGGTGGTGCAGGGGGAGGAGAGGTAAACTGTTGCTGAAGCTTATGTCCTCGTACAGGGGCTTCTTTGGTGACTCCACCCACAATTTGAACAATTGGGCAATCCCTCATTGCTGGTAATTATTAGATTGAATGAAGTCCATGATGGAAGCAATCCTGTTGGCTTTTATGTAGCTGGGTTGCACGCAATAATTATTCCATTTGTTGTGACTTCCGGAACCAACTTGACACTTACTTGGAGGGATAAAGTAGAATCAGGTGTGCCAGTAACACAATCCACAGAAGCATTAGATCTGGACTCTGACATCTCCAGTCTGGAGTCCAGCAACTAGGAACATTCTGAATGAGAGGCCCCTAAAACAGCAGCCCCACTCACTACTGTCCCTGAGCTGGACCCCGAGGTAGCATCCTCACAGTGATCAGAGTCAGTGCATGGTCGGTCTGTGCACGATCATAGGTGCTATATTTTATGAGAGTTAGCATACAGGAAAGATAATGCCAGACTTCAGAGCAGTTCCTTGAGGTTCTTCATTCTCTACCAAAGGGGTGGGTCAAGGAACTACATCAGAACTCTGTCAACATGAAAGAACTTGTCTGTTCTCTGGGACCTGCCCAAGGTTCTAAAGGACCAGTCAGTGGTGCTTGACCTCTTAATTTGCTCTGCTGACTCTTGGTCTTTACATACTCTGGACCGCAACTCAGCTCATTTCCTCCAGGGCAGGGCAATGTCTTTTTGGAGTGCAAAAGTTATTGTTCCACTTCCCCCTCATCCCCCCCCCAAGAGAAGTATGGACGTATAGGTGTTGCAAAGCACAGCCCCCAAACTGGAGGAGAGCTTGTGGGGGTTTGTAAAACTCAGGAGTTCCAAGGAAGGGATTCTAAAGGCACCAGAATGGCCACTTCTAAAGCTTTATTGCAGAAAGGTGTAGACTTACAGTATCCAGAGCTAGGGCTGCCACATGTCTGGTTTCCCCCAGACATGTCCTCTTTTTCAGAGGTGAAATTACCATCCGGGGAATTTTTAGAAATCGCCAAAATGTTCAGGTTTTTAAAGCAGCATTTCTAATAATATATCATCCAAATTTTGGGGGATGGGAAAGCAGGACATCTGTGCAGTCTTTTTTCCACCCACCCCTGACCAGTCTCTGTGCTCATTTAACCAGCATCCCTCGCGGTCTGGGGGTTGCATCTCCCGCTCCCCACAATGCTGCTGCCCACTCTCCTGAGCTGTGGTGTGCGAGTGCACCCCTGTGCCATTTTGCAAGGCAAGTGCCCTGCAGTGGGCTCCCCCCGACATTTCCATATGCTCTGCCGCTGCATCCAGTGCTTTTTAAATAGACATGCACCTTCCCTGAATAGTGGACTCTCAAGCCACATAATAAACAGCTTTTGAAACAGGGACATTTTCTAAAACGGCTTGCTACCAGTTGTGTCTGCATGCTCAAAGCAGGGTGGGATGCTTCCCCGTTTCATTTTGGTGGCCCTGTGCCTCTCGATGAACATAATTGAGTCTGGCCTAATCTGAAATCCCTCTTGCTTTATTTCTTACTTTGAGTCCTATTGGTCCTACAGAAAAAGTTTGGGGATTAAGGCCAAAGGACATTTTTAGAGAAACAAGCACATAGAGGCATAAAAATGTTTAATCTGGACCACAAGGATGATCTGGAATCTGGCTGGGTGGCGTGCTACTCGTGGGTGTCCTGTGGCTCCCTGCTCTAGTTTCAGAATGTTTAATACTTTCAGTTTTCTCTAAAACTGTGAAAATGAAAAATTTTCATTTCTGTTCCTTTTAGTAAAAGTTCTTATAATAAAATATGAGTATTCTCCAGC